TACTGCTCTAATACACTCATATTTGTGTAGAGTAATGTCTCACAAGTACAACAGTACCTCTCAACTACAGGTTTTAAGGTGATTTGGAAAGTTACAGGGTCAAACATAAGATTTGCCAATTACTGTTTTTGTAAATTGCTATTGGCCAGATTGGCTGTTGCCTTTGAGACGGTATGGCAGCCCAGAAATGAAAATTAACCCAACCATGACATACCATTTGAAAAAGTAGACAATCCAGGGTATAAGTACCCTTATAATGAAATCATATATATGTATTATATATGTATAATATATTATAAACTGTCCTTTCTCGCCTTGACTACTGTAATCCGCTTCTCAGTGGTCTTACGTGCTCCCAACTAGCGCCGTTACAGTCCATAATGAATACGGCAACGAGGCTCATCTTCCTGTCCGTCCGCACCTCCCATGCCTCACCCTTCTGTCAGTCCCTACATTGGCTTCCTATAAAATATAGAGCTCAATTTAAAATTCTGGTTCTTGCTTTCAAATCTCTACATAATGCTGCTCCCACCTATCTATCCTCCCTTATACACAAGTATGTCCCGTCTAGGCCCTTACGATCTGCTGAAGACTTACGTCTATCTTCTGTCCGTACTCCCACCTCTGATGCTCGCCTTCAAGATTTCTCGAGGGCTGCACCGTTCCTGTGGAACTCGCTTCCCTCCTCCGTTAGATGCTCACCCAGTCTCCACTCCTTCAAAAAATCGTTAAAAACCCACTTCTTCATAAAAGCGTATCAATTAAACTGTTAATAGCTCCTGACTGATTCCTCTTCTGCAACTGTCACTAGTCTAATACTATCCTTACCTTTTTGTGTAATTTTACCCCACTCCCTCTAGCATGTAAGCTCATTGAGCAGGGCCCTCAACCCCTCTGTTCCTGTGTGTCCAACTTGTCTGGTTACAACTACATGTCTGTTCGTCCACCCATTGTAAAGCGCTGCGGAATTTGACGGCGCTCTATAAATATCATAATAATAATAATAATGTATTATACATATACAATATATGCATAATATATTTAATTTATATATATTTTTTTTTACTTTTTAGCAGCTCCATAGACTCCTACAGCGGCCATGTGATCTTGGTGATCACATGCCCCTGGAGAGCCGGGGTGGCCGGAGCCACTGCAGGGGGACTACTGGGGTCTTTGGGAGTGACCCGCCCGACCGTGATCACCGCGGATCGCCAGTCCAGGGCTCCTATTTGCCGCGATCCTTAACGACCGTTTTTTGTCTGCGTTCGTTAAGGGGACATATGTATTTATAGTGTCATTCTAAATGTATTTTGATTTAAATATATATGTATATTAATATCAAAATACAGTTAGAACAAATTTAAACTGGTATATAATTTTTTAAAATGTAATTTTATAATTTTTTTAAATTTAATTTTTTCAAGTAATTTATTGATTTTTAATATATATATATATAATTATAAATATATATATATATATATATATTTATCATTAACGTTATTCTAAGTGTGTTTTAATATTAATATATATATATAATTATATAAATTAATAATAAAATGCACTTTTAATAATGATGTACAGGGAGTGCAGAATTATTAGGCAAGTTGTATTTTTGAGGCTTAATTTTATTATTGAACAACAACCATGTTCTCAATGAACCCAAAAAACTCATTAATATCAAAGCTGAATATTTTTGGAAGTAGTTTTTAGTTTGTTTTTAGTTATAGCTATGTTAGGGGGATATCTGTGTGTGCAGGTGACTATTACTGTGCATAATTATTAGGCAACTTAACAAAAAACAAATATATACCCATTTCAATTATTTATTATTACCAGTGAAACCAATATAACATCTCAGCATTCACAAATATACATTTCTGACATTCAAAAACAAAACAAAAACAAATCAGTGACCAATATAGCCACCTTTCTTTGCAAGGACACTCAAAAGCCTGCCATCCATGGATTCTGTCAGTGTTTTGATCTGTTCACCATCAACATTGCGTGCAGCAGCAACCACAGCCTCCCAGACACTGTTCAGAGAGGTGTACTGTTTTCCCTCCTTGTAAATCTCACATTTGATGATGGACCACAGGTTCTCAATGGGGTTCAGATCAGGTGAACAAGGAGGCCATGTCATTAGATTTTCTTCTTTTATACCCTTTCTTGCCAGCCACGCTGTGGAGTACTTGGACGCGTGTGATGGAGCATTGTCCTGCATGAAAATCATGTTTTTCTTGAAGGATGCAGACTTCTTCCTGTACCACTGCTTGAAGAAGGTGTCTTCCAGGAACTGGCAGTAGGACTGGGAGTTGAGCTTGACTCCATCCTCAACCCGAAAAGGCCCCACAAGCTCATCTTTGATGATACCAGCCCAAACCAGTACTCCACCTCCACCTTGCTGGCGTCTGAGTCGGACTGGAGCTCTCTGCCCTTTACCAATCCAGCCACGGGCCCATCCATCTGGCCCATCAAGACTCACTCTCATTTCATCAGTCCATAAAACCTTAGAAAAATCAGTCTTGAGATATTTCTTGGCCCAGTCTTGACGTTTCAGCTTGTGTGTCTTGTTCAGTGGTGGTCGTCTTTCAGCCTTTCTTACCTTGGCCATGTCTCTGAGTATTGCACACCTTGTGCTTTTGGGCACTCCAGTGATGTTGCAGCTCTGAAATATGGCCAAACTGGTGGCAAGTGGCATCGTGGCAGCTGCACGCTTGACTTTTCTCAGTTCATGGGCAGTTATTTTGCGCCTTGGTTTTTCCACACGCTTCTTGCGACCCTGTTGACTATTTTGAATGAAACGCTTGATTGTTCGATGATCACGCTTCAGAAGCTTTGCAATTTTAAGAGTGCTGCATCCCTCTGCAAGATATCTCACTATTTTTGACTTTTCTGAGCCTGTCAAGTCCTTCTTTTGACCCATTTTGCCAAAGGAAAGGAAGTTGCCTAATAATTATGCACACCTGATATAGGGTGTTGATGTCATTAGACCACACCCCTTCTCATTACAGAGATGCACATCACCTAATATGCTTAATTGGTAGTAGGCTTTGAGCCTATACAGCTTGGAGTAAGACAACATGCATAAAGAGGATGATGTGGTCAAAATACTCATTTGCCTAATAATTCTGCACTCCCTGTATGTATATGTATGTGTATGCACTATATATATTAACTAAGTACATTTATTTACTTTTTAAAACTTTTATTTAGCCCCCTGCAGGCACTGCACAAGCCGGCTATTCCTGCCATGTGATCTCGAGGACCCCGCAATCACATGGACCAGATCAGATGCAGGGGGACTGCCTGGGATACCAGGTACGTCCGAGGTAGTTAACAACCATTTTTTGTCAGGAAGAGGTTAAACATAATCTCTGATTATACCTACCATTCTATGGTCCACAACATATATACAAGAATAGATATATTCTTGACTCTTATACTCATGCCAAAAGTATAAGATCTACAGATAGGATTTGTTTCTTGATCAGAATACACACCCATCATACTGTTGTTAAAGCAATGCTTCCCTAACAAAGGTAAAGGTACAGGATGTAGGAGATTAAACAATACCATTTTTAGGAACCCCAAGGTAGGCTCTAGCATTAGGGAAGAACTAATTTCATACTTCACAATTAAAGGTACTATACAGTCACCTGAACAACTACAGCTTAATATAGTTGTTCTGGTGTGTCTAGTCAGCACCTGCAGGCATTTTTATGCTGCCTAGGGACACCTCCAGTGGCTGTCGCACAGACTGCCACTGGAGGTGCTTCCTGGGTCAGTGATGCACAGTGTGCAGCACTGACGTTCAGTGTCTCCAAGCTTTGCATGGAGATGCTGAACTTTTGTCAAAGAGATCCATTAATTCAATGCATCTCTATGAGAAGATGCTGATTGGCCAGTGCTGCATTTGGCTCTGCGCCCCATGTCTCCTTGGCTGACATTATCAGAATTGACAACCTCAGCCAATCCAATGCTTTTTCATGGGAAGCATTGGATTGGCTGAGATTTTCAATTATGATGATATCATCCAAGGAGGCAGATCGAAAGAGTAGTCAGTGCTGGCAGACTCGCTCGGCACAAGATAAAGGAATTTTTTAACACTATTTCCAGGAGGGGAGGGGGGAGAGGGAGGGATCCAGCAACCTACATAGTGTTTCTAATACTATAAGTTCAGGAATTGTATTCCTGACTTGTAGTGTTCCTTTGATAAAACCCCAGACTCTAGCGTAGATACCATATGGCAGGCACATAAGGTAGTACTTAGGGGACTTTTCATAAAAATTCACAAGCTCTGCTAACAAACAAAGACTTCAGAACTACACCAGGTTGATCCAAGAACTGGCAAACCTGACGCACAGGAACAAACATAACTTATCTCCCATGACACAAAAAAGGCTATATGAATTATAGAGAAGAAACACACTTTTCAGACATCTAAAACAAGTTCTTTGTCCAGGCTAATAAAGCAGAGGCACTGGTAGCCTCCCACTTAAGTTCCGTAAAATTGGCTTTAGGGTAGAGTTTATACAATCTATTAATATTAGAAAAATTTTAAATCCACAGAATATAGTAGGAGAATTTGCCAACTACTACAGCACTTTATATAATCTGAATGAGGACCCAAGTTCAAACATTCAAATATTTTTGGCGTCTGTAGATCTCCTTGATTTGCTGCCAGAGGAACTCGACCATCTCTCCAATCAATCTATCGAGGGCCTATCAAGAATCTTATTCCATTTGTCCCAAATTTCATACCTATGCGTATTAATGCAAAATTGTAAGGCAATGCCTTTTTTCATTTTCTATTGGGTTCTGATAGCCTCCTTGACTTGCTGCCAATTATCTATTATTGTCTTTTTCCAATTTCTGGCAATAGATATTTTAAAAGCAATCAATGCATGGATCAAGAGATATATCTTCTCTTTTGGTATTTGATGTAATTTTAAATGTAACAAGGGGGGGCGGGGCCTGACCGCCATGCTGTCCGGTCGCATGCTACAGAGGCTCCTGCTGATTCTAACCTAAAACGGAAGAAATAATGGCCTCACCACAGACAACTGGGAGAAGAAAACCACTAATGTGCACGGGAACTGGCGGGCGCCGCAGCGGACTCCGAGATCGGGAGTTTCGGGGACCACGTGGCACGAGACTTCGGGACCTGTGGCCTGCACGGGTGAACCGAGGGGCGGACGGCCGCCGCCCTGCCGGCAAACCTGATCACCGAGCCAAGACCCTGTGACGTGCCTCACAGGCCCCGCTCCCCCCCCTTGGACCGGGGGGGTTATCCCGGTCTCCACTGGCGGGAGCCGACCCTCCACAAACTCCCCAGCGAAACACGAGGCGCCGGAACAAGTGAGCCCTGCCTGCAAGATGGCGGCCTCAAAGCCCAACTACACTCTCCATCTCCGGGCAGCACTGCGACTGGAAGCATTCGCCCCCGACTCGGGACAACACTGGAGGGCACCCCCATCACACCTCACCCCAGGCTTGGATCTGGCCTCCACGACGGCCTTCCTGGGCCTTGAGCCCCTGAGGGCACTCCTCATACCGAAGCCCAACACCTGGACTCACCACACTTACCAGTCATCCCGTTATCGGCCAGCCATGGAACCGGAACCGTGGGCACAGATGGTCGGCTCATGTGGAGCCCGGGGCCGGCGGCGTGGTATATGCCAGATCCTCCCTCACTAACTCTCCACCCGGGTCGGAGGCGAGGAAACCACAGGCCCGGAAGACTCAGCATGCCTGACAGTCTATTGCCTCCGGCGTGAGGGACTACCGGCGGAACCCGAGCGGAGTTCACCAGCTTGGTTTTTCAATCCACATAAATATTGCTACGTCTACCCCCTTGTTAGCAGTTCCTAATACTTGCAAAGTGCAGGGTTATGTTTAACCTAGTTAGTGAAGTACAAATGTTTATTATTTAGAGCAAAGCCATACAGCTTGAAACTTAAGTACAACCCCCACTGTGATATACACGTCTAGCCTAGTCTTCACTATTACTCACTGCTAGTGCATCATAGCCTACTGCTCTATTAATAACAAATCACAATGGGATGTGTTTGATATAAATTAGCTTCTCTGCCCACTATGTTGAAGCATGCTATTCCTATCACTTAAACATACCAATTGTGCAAGTACTTAAAGCATGTATCCAGTAAAAAGCGAAAACTGAATATAGTGCCTGCATATAGCCTTATCTATGTACCTATTTTATAAAAATGTGCATTGCCTAGCGAATACCCTACCTGATATCTATCTATGGTTTAAGCTTGTTAATATAATATAAAATGAGGTTGACAATCCTAGGAGAATTCTGTAATTTGTTACGATGACCCTAATCTGTATAACTCTTGCAAGTCTCCCTCTCTTTTTTCTGTACCACCATAATCACATGCCTCAAAAAAATAAAGAATTAAAAAAAAAAAAAATAATAATAATTTTAAATGTAACAATATTGTTTCAGGTGTCCAGTGAGGTGTAATACCCAATAGCCTTTTAATTTCTAATAAAATTCGGTCCCAGGCTCTTCCCACTCAATGTCATAAATTTAGACTTATCTCCCTACTAACCACTGATATCACGTGGGGGCACCCTCAGGGCACTATAGTGTCAGGAAAACCGCTTTGTTTTCCTGACACTATAGTGATCCTTTAACACATTACTGGCAGCATTGCCAATAACACTAATAGAACCACTCATCTGATTCTTCTTTTAACCTGAGCCTCCCTAAACTTCTAAACAAATTGCATCAAAAACTTTATTGGCATCCAGAAAGATGTTTGCACTTATTTATTTATTTATTTTACCAGGAAAGATACATTGAGATTTCTCTCATTTTCAAGTATGTCCTGGGTCCACAAAACATTGCATTGATACATTATGGTACAATAAAATACAAAAACAATATTAATACACAATATATACAAAAACTTAACTGGAAACAATCTGCATACCCTACTAGGATGCAACTGATGTACAAAATAAGTCAATATTACCTGTATTAAAAACTATCTGTAGATGCTGTTACAAAACAAACGTCTTTTACGGAGATGTGGTAGAGTACCTTCACCAAAGTCGCAAAAGGGTCTTCTAGACTTGAGACATAATAACCTAGCGCACATAAAAGTCAGTTAACAATTTCCCACAGGGTAAAGGGGATTCAGACCTAGAGAGAGAAAGGATGTGAGAAATTTCCAAAACTGCTGGGAATAGCGGGAGGTTGAAGCGGAGCCCCAGAGGTAGGCACACACCAAATAGGTCTAGCAGATACACTAATAGAATCTAATTATGTTTTATGCTTGTATTCCCACCCTCTTATTCTGATCTTCTGTACCCTATTCAGAAAATTTGTTGGTTAATAGCATAATATTATATTTATGTTCAAGGGCTATGCTGGAAACAATAATCGAGTACAGTCCAGTGAATAGTTAAATGGGCACTTTTGCAATTTTGGCTATGAAGCCTCATTGCTGCATACAACTGTATTAGTTGTTGCTCTTTGCTTACCAAACTGTGTAATATAACTTGCAACTAAATTTTTCCTTGAAAAATCAATAAAAAATTTAAAAAAACCCTACTTTTTCACTCTGCAATATTTTTTTTTTATAACTTCTAAAAATTTATTGAAATCCTTGATATATATCCCATTGTACAGCGCTATGGAATCAGATGGTGCTATATAAATAATAAAATAATAATAATAATAATATATTGGGCACCTAAACAACCAGGGCTAATTAGTGCATCAATTTGAGTTTGTTTTCTTTAGCTGCACTTGATTAGAAATTATTAAATGTAAATCTTTTTCTTTCATTCTTTTAAACATTTTATTCCTTTTAATATCCTTTTAATAATGTGTTATATGGTATTAAAAAAAAAATGTTGTTTTTCTCCTTTAACCCCTTAAAAATGATATATACTATATATGGGTGCACTAAAACATAAATGGGGGAAATTGTGGTAGAAAGGTGCCAAATGAGCCTTGGTCACAAATGCATTGCAAAATAGCCTTGGTCCTGAAGGGGTTAAAGTGTTTTACTTCTCCTTCTTTAGTGGAATATGTGCCTGGATGTACCTTGACTTAACCATATTGAGATGTGACTTGTTATATCTTCAAGAATATTTTGAAGAATAAATGAAGAAAAAAAGTCAACACAAGTTATAGGTAATTTCCAATGTTTTATTAGGCGTAGTTTTCAGAAAAATTAGTTAATTAGAGTCTACTTTGGCAGATCTGGCACATTTGCTGCCCACGCCTATACTGACTATATTAGTGTGTATACAGAATGAAAGCTTGTATGTGCATTATTAAATCCCATTTTTGTTAGGTGTGTTAGCAGTGCAGACTGCAGCAAGTAAGCATGCATTCAAATTAGACAAGAAATGTAGAGATTTTGCATGCTCCTTTTATGGCCTACATTCTGAATAGAACATGGAATAAGTTAGTTCTTAACCCACATAGATTTATGAATATTTTGGTTGGTGATCTATGAACGTTTTTCATTGTTAGTAAGATGTATTAGTGGTTATCAATAAATAAACTCAAGCTAACTGATTATTTCACAGTACATTTTTTAATGCCATAACTGACATAAACTCCACTGGAAGAAGCATTCTGTGCCAGAGGTTGCTTTGCAGGAAGTGACGCTGTAGAAATGGTCTTATTATTGTTTTGCCGTGCTGCTAGGATGTCCCATAGACTGGCATACACATTGCCCCTGCATGCTTTCTTACCAGCATCCTGCCACAAGGATTCCTCTGCTATCTCAATAATACTCAATGGACTAACCCCGCCCTCATTGTCTCCTGACCACGCCCCACGGGCTGGGAGCCCCGCCCCTCATCTTCCCGATCAATGCGCATGCGTGACTTGTCCCCAGCAGAGTGATCGCACTTCCGGTCTGGTGTCATGGCGTCTTCACAGTGATGGCCGAGGGGAGAGCGCGATAGCGGGGAGGAGGAGAGGAGGGGGCGGCGGCGGAGGAGGTGGTGGTGGCGGTGGTGGTGGAGGAGGAGGAGGAGGAGGAGGAGGTGGTGGAGGGGGGGAAGCGGAGGCGGTGGAAGAAGAAGCAGCAGCGACTGTAACGGTTACCGTCATCTCCTTCCCCCCGGCGGCGGCGGCCTGCGACCCCCGGGAGGAGGAGGGGGAGACCCCGGGCCGGGGCCATGGCAGCTCACAAGCCGGTGGAGTGGGTTCAAGCCGTAGTGAACCGATTTGACGAGCAGGTGAGGCTGGTGATCGCCCGGGCTGCCGGGGAGGATGGGTCTGGGGCGCTGATGGAGGAGGAGGAGGAGGAGGGAGGGTGTTGCTATGGAGGAAGATGGTGATGGAGAGATGGGGGTCTGTGGCTGGCTCCTGGTTGCTGGGATAGATTGGATTTGTCACCGCCTAATCCCTTACTCATCCTCACACTGCCAGGCCCCCCTTCTTGTTGTGGGGGTCCCTGCAATGACCCTGTCATGCAGCTGTAGGGGCCTTTTGCCGGGCAGATCAGTGGGAGACCACAGCTCATGGACATCTACTCCCATCACCCTTCATGTGTGTGTGTGTGTGTGTGTGTGTGTGTGTGTACATACATCTTGTGCATGCTGACAGCTGACACTGCAGAAGAAATTAATTGCAAAGCATACCCAACAGGTCCATCCCAGGGCTCCATGTCTCCACACCCTTCCTTCCTGACCAAGCTGGACCATATCCTCATCTGCTGGCATTGCTCATATTTGTGATGATCATATATAGGCTGCATTCACTGTGCTTAAAAGCTGGTTTGTTTTACAAATCTTAGTCATACAGGTGTGATATGTGCTCATTTGGCTATCCTGTCTGTTTCAAAAAGGTATACCTTGCCTTCTCTATATGTCCACTAACTGTATGCTTTCGATCTGTAGCTCACAAGAGCAGTTTAAAAACAAAATAAAAACTCCACTTTAGGATGGCCGTGTAAATGTAATTATTAAACTCTACTGTGTTAAAGTATTTTTGATGTATATCACCCTTCTTTAACAAAGCATTTTACACATGGAGAGCATTGAAATTAAAAATCATATATGCTGTTCATAAGTATACCTGTAACTTAACAGGGTGGTTTGGCCTCTATCTCAGACTTGTACAAGATATATTTTATTCACTACACTGTTTCCATATTAAAATCCAAATGGTAAAAGTTGTGGTACTATAGCTAATGTGGAAAGACAGAATATTTTAACCTCAATTCTGCTTTTTTGGATTTAGTCAGGTGCAGTTTGGAGTTGTGAATAAACCTGACAGTGTTTTTTTTAAATGTTTGTTATATGGTGATGTTCATTTTGCGCACATTGCCATGTATTATTTTGGCTTTCCTATTAAAATAATTATTCACTAGCCTCTGAACTGTAGCATATTATAATCCAATTGGAATTATGTAGTCTACTCTAAAGTAGCTTATTGGGAAAAATATATACATCTTTTCAGTTGTCCTGAATGTTGTTGTTTTGAGTTGAATTCACTAGTTTGTTGTTTATCAAATAAGCTGATGCAGTGTGTATTTGCAACCTAAATATGACCTTGTGTCTCAGCATCATCTATTGCTGGAGAGTCTTGCACAGTTTTGGTAGGATACATTCATATTTTGTGAAATCTGTTGCCTATTACTTTTTTCCCCTCTTATGATCCTGATATTTTAGTCAACACATACATTTTTAATGAAACCATTAAAGTAGTATATGGGAAAACAAACCTAAATAACGTCTCTTGGGGATCAAAGAGATTGTTTATTAACATAGTCA